ACCGTTTGGTATATTGTCTTTTAGCAAAGGCAGTGTTGCTTCGAGGAGCTCGTACAACAATGTCATGTCTTCTCCTATTCTTGATATCAGGATTGTAAGGCAAGGATAAATGTTTTCTTAAAACTGCCTGCATTATGTATAATTTCCTAACAGAAGGAATACCAGTGTTTTGGTAAAGACGCTCGGTCGAGAACCCCAAATTTTGAAAACACATGGTCTTAATTAGTCTTCGCTGGGCCCGCTCTACCTCAATAAAACGGGTTTTGGCAGCACCACCCCAGATAGATATACAATATATCAAGATAGATTGCACCAGCGAGTAATATATTTTAATAAGGAGACCTTTTTCAGAGCTAGTTTGGTTGTCAACCATCCTGGGCACCACGTATCTCAGCATCCTGAAGATCCAGATTAATTTTCTGAGTCTTGAGGAAATATATTCCAGCTGCGGATACCATGACAACCTCTGATCTACATAGACGCCTAGGTATTTTACTTGGTCAACTTTCTGAATTTCAGGACAACTACAAGTTTTTACATTTGGGCTAGTATTGCATTTATGTATTTTTATAGAGAAGTCTTTTGGTACAACCACCAAAAGACTTCTCTATAAATTGTTATAAATACTAAAGCAAATATAATTAGTTTTGGTGGTATTTAAAGAAAGGAGGTTATTGCTTAGCCACTTGTTTATCTGTTTCAAGCCACTCTCAGCCTGTTTCCTTACGTTTTCCCATGAGTCTGCACTGAAGACTACGGCTGTGTCATCAGCGTATGAAAGGATTTGAGCATTTTTTGTTTTCATATCACAAAGGTCATTAATGTAAATGAGAAAAAGAGTAGGCCCAAGGACACTACCTTGAGGTACACCATATGTCACTTCCGAGTCTCCACTAATGAAGGAATCAAGTTTTACCCTCTGTTTCCTATTAGACAGGTAGTCCTTGAGCAAATTAAGTGGTGTTCCCTTCATACCAATTGCTTCCAGTTTACGCAGCAGGATAGGGATAGAGACAGTGTCAAACGCTTTTTGTAAGTCAAGGAATACTGCCATGCATTTTTTGTGACTATCAAGTTTCTCAACCACCAGCGAGCTCAACGCAGAGACTGCGTCTTCAGTCGATCTTCCCTGTCTAAAACCATACTGAGAGGGAGATAAAATATTGTATCTGTTCAGATAGTTAAGTAACCGCGAATTGAGCAACTTTTCCATTATCTTAGAAATGGCGGGCAAGACAGAGATCGGTCTATAATTAGTTACACTGTCTCTATCCCCTGATTTGTGAACTGGAGTAATGATAGCCTGTTTAAATAGCGATGGAAAGGTCCCCTTGTGAAAACAAAGATTTATGAAATGAGTTAAGATCGGTACAATTTGAAGTCTCACACGCTTGAGAAATATGGTAGGAATGTTATCCCAGCCAGGGGCACTGCTCGTTTTTAGTGACAGTAGTGTACTAGACACCTCATCCTGATCAGTGTCAAGCAAAACAAAAGAGTTTGACTGAGTTGGTAAGTTACGCAAATAATCATTCAATTCCTCTTGAGACAGCTGTACCTGTTGAGACAGTTGTCTCCCTATATTTGCAAAAAAGTGATTTACGTAATCCGCAGATGCAGCTGGAGAGGGCATGACGTTTAGTAGATCTATATTATTGTTATTATTACTCATACTGGTAAAGGTAATATTTTTAATATTTTTCCATAATTTTTTATTATTATTAATAGATTTATTCAATAATTCTCTTTCATATTGTCTTTTTAGTTTTTTAATAAGATTGTTACAATAATTTCGATATCTAATATATATAATTTTATTAAGTTCATTGTAGGGGTCGTCTTTTACTTTCTTTTGCAATTTATTTCGATTTCGGATACAGCGCAGAATTCCAGGCGTGATCTTATGTAAATATATTACTAAAAGCATCACGTACGTCATTTTTATACGTCGGTGACTGTTTCATGTCTACCATTAACGTCACAGCCTATGGAGAGTCCACTGCTGAACATAATCCTCACCATTGTTTGCTCATAGGGGAAATTTTGCCATAGTTGACATGCTTGGCGGGTGGATTGTCAACCGCAGTCTTTAATTACTTTGAGTTGTTTTCAGGAAGTCGCTGCTGCCCACCATCAGTTTCAGTTTCCCTCAGTCGCCTCTTACGACACCCACGGGACGGTATTTAGTAGTGGATATTCTTACACCGCCACTACACGGCAAGTTTCATGTCTGTTTATTAAGCTATTGCATAGCTTCTATCGCGGGCCTTCAGCGCGGGGACCGAATCCAGAAATTCCGTAACGAAAAAACCTCACGCTCCCCACTCCGATGGGCACGGAGGTGTGGCGTTGAAAGCCGTGCATCGTCTAACGTCGTTTCAGTTCGGCAGACTTCGGCACTTGGCAGAGTTCGGCACGGTGTTTGTGTGCGTGCGACTAGACGTATGCGTGTACACTAGCTGCTAACTCAATGATAAAAATTCCTGAATAACCTACATGTATTGTAAGATATTAAAAATATTTTAAACAATATTAACTTCTCATTTATTCAATAAGAGAAAAAAAAATTGTTTTCTTATCGGTCACCACGCTCAAAAAGTGTAATTTGATTTAATATCAAAGACTTAACTGCATAAATAAAATAAATAAATAGTTATAATTGCATAAGTTGATAAAAAATGCTATGCAATAGCTTTACCGCGGCAGTCACCGAGTGCCACACGTATTTTTTTAATGATAACATGGCCTGTAATATTATTTTGTAGATTGATTTACAGCATCACAAATATTTCTAGAGTAATGAGGAGGAACCGGAAGAATAGTGAATGCGCTGGCGGGTGTATGGTTTTTTTTTATAAAAGCCTATGAACAACTGTAACACCAGGAGAATTGCGGATATGTTACCGGCCTTTAACGGTTTTCTATCGTCTGCTAAGCTTCGTGATTGTTGCAACACATGTAAATATCTAACAGTGGATTATTATCATTAGGTGATTAGTGACATAGGTAAATTAAATGACGCATAATCATAATTACCCTGTTCGATTTCTTTAAAGGGAAAATAACCCGGTTGTAAATATCAGGATTGCTCTTAAGATCGTTAAGCTAAGTACTTTAGCGCTGCTAGCGATGCCGCAATATTTATCATATTATCATATTTTGCTTGGGGCTTAAGATTAACATGAACCTTGGACACGATGAAGATAATGTCTAAGTATTCCGGTAGTAATTAGAGACCCTGCGAAGTTGCTCACTTTAAGCAATGGTTCAACTTACGAGCCCAACTCAGCTTTGCTGCGACATCGCGGCACATTTTGCCTGGTATACCTCAGGACTTAAAATCTATGCAATAGTGTCTCTTAGCACTGGCTGCTTACAGTATCGAGACCTTGTTTTTTACTGCTGGCCCTGAGAGGAAGCTCAAATACTTTCAGCAAGCTATAGAGATATGAATTTATTAGGTAATAGGGCTTTTTTCTATATAGGAGTCCGTCTGAACCGTGACCTTCTGTTTTATGAACTTAAGACCGCTAAGAACTGAAGAGACGTAGCGGTCAGCCGCCGTAGAGTCAACATCACCTGAAGATGCCTCGTATAGAGGCGAAACACGTGTAGTATTATCGTCGATGGTGTGTCTTTCCTAGAATAGTGGTGTTGTGAATAGTGGCGTTGGGAGTAGTGGTGCTGGGATTGGTGGAGACGAGATTAGTGCACGCAATTGAGGGAGGGCGGGAGGTGCTCTTCAAACTAGGGAAGACATTGTATTTTATTTTACGGATGGTTGCAAAATAACTATTAATATCTTTATTATAATGGATTTTCGCAAAGCAACGCCTGATTCTACCAATTAAATGTAGATGTCTATTGGCCACAGCATCCACTTACCATCAGGAGGATTGTGTGCTCATTTGTTGCCCTTAATCTATATAAAAAAAAAAGATTTCCGCGAACCGGAATAACTCACGGTCAGTACTACCTAGTGGAAATGACCGGCCATATACAAAGCTCGAATAATCGACAACAAGATGGAGAAGAAAGGTTCTTGAAAGACAGATTCGTACAGGCGAGTTTGGTGCAGCACGATCTCTTACTAGAGATGGATGGCGACCTGACCATACATGCCCAGCAACCTGTGGGAGTTGTTTACGTCAGCTGTCAACTTGTAATGAGATTTAATATTTGTACCCTTTTTAGTTCAGAACCTTGAAATATATATAAAGGCGTCGGCGAAGACTTGACAACATGACGTCATCATTTCTTATATTTTCTTGCAGTTGGCGCACAGCGCATCTTTAAGGTTCTTTATTTAAAGTTGGTTGCAAGTGTCCATGGGCTGCGGTAACCATTTTTGGTGGGCTGTAAGTTTGTTTATAGCAAAAATAAATGTAGGATCGGTTTCGTATTCTAGTTTTGTATTCGAACATACATCGTTGTCTTTTAACACAAACGCTTCAAGTATTTCGATATTCCAATAATCTGGCACCAGAGGCATCATGATCCCCGCAAAGAATTAAATTAAGACTTATTGCAAAACTTCATTACATTAACCCGCGAGCACTCGCGCGGGGTGCTGACAGCACCCCAGAGATTTTCAAACGTAAAAATCAATGCCTATTTGTTTGTTCATGAGCGTATGCGTCTAAATAGCTTCAAATAAAAATCAACCGCGACGAATCGAGGTGGGAGGAGCAGTGTGGCGATTGCGCTTGCAACGCAAGGACGTGTCAAAGTTTGCGTGGGGTGCTCACAACACCCCGCGAGTTCTCGTGATATACTTTTTCATATTTACTAAAACACCAAGGTAAGTTGTTTTTAACCTTTTTTCATTAGAATTTATTGTAAATGTATGTAAGTTATCTGATTTATGTGTGAACAATAATAATAGATATGGATATTAGATATTTTTGTGTGTAAGTACCTACTACTATTTACATTTCAATGTTTTTATTTCATTTTCTTCTCAGATGAGTTAGGAGTCTAAGCAAGCAAGCTGGAGAGCTATGTTGGAAGCTGTTATGTCAGACAATGAAGACAACGTTGCCGTCGAAAGTGATGCCAGCATCGATGATGATTACGTTGAAGAATCTGATCATGATTCAATGTCAGAGCAGAATGCTTCATCGTCAGAAGAATCTGAGGCAGAAGAGACTGAAACTCAGGAGCGCTTCTTCTTAGCTAAGGATAAAATAACTAAGTGGTTCAAAGTAAAGGGACGTTCTGCAGTAAGAACCCATTCTCAAAATATAATGTCTGAAGCTCCAGGTCCAAAAGGTATGGCTAAGTTTTCTAAATCTCCACTTGAGTGTTTTCAACTTTATGTTACCGATGATATGATAGCAGAGATAACCACTTGCACAAATACGTATATTGGGAAAATTAGCAGTAAATACGCACGTGAAAGAGATTGCAAAAAGACCGATCAAACGGAAATAGAAGCTTTGATTGGTTTACTAATCCTGTCTGGGTTGTGTAAGTCTAGTCATAGAAAGCTTCAAGATTTGTGGGATGAGTCTAGATTAGGCATTGCAATTTTTCACAAAACTATGAGCTACAACAGGTTTTCTTACCTTCTAAAATGTTTGCGCTTTGATGATGTAACACTCGTGAGTCAAGAAAAGCTACAGACAGATTTTCCCCAATCAGAAACATTTTTACGCAATTCAACAATCATTGTAATGAAAATTATAGTCTCAACGAAAACTTTACGATAGATGAACAATTACTGAAATTTCGGGGGCGCTGTATTTTTCGGCAATATATACCAAGTAAGCCCGGGCGATATGGTTTGAAAAATTTTGCATTATGCGATGCAAAGACATTTTACACTTATCAAAGTGAGCCATATCTAGGTCAACAACCAAATGGACCTTACAAAGTGAGCTACAAGCCAACCGATATAGTAATGCGATTATGTACACCGATTTTAGGTTCTGGAAGGAATCTGACTTGTGATAATTGGTATACTAACCTCCCGTTAGCAGAAGAACTGTTGAAAAATAAAATAACGGTGGTAGGTACATTGCGAAAAAATAAAAAAGAGTTACCCACAGCTTTTGTCAACCAACGAAAAGTTGGAACTTCTATATTCGGGTTTCACTACAAGTTGCCATTGACTCTTGTATCATATTGTCCTAAACAGAAATAAAATGTATTACTAATATCTACAATGCATGACAATAATGACAACATTATCACAACAGCCACTAATGAGCAAAAACCAGAAATAGTCTTATTCTACAATGAAACAAAAGGTGGCGTTGATACGGCTGACCAAATGTGTGGTAACTATAGTGTTTCAAGGATATGTTCACGATGGCCACTGAGGTTTTTTTTTTCACATTCTGGATACCAACCCAACCAAAAATGGAACGAACTGAGTTTTTGGAATCTGTTGGTTTGAGTATGGTTCAAGGACAAATTCAAAAGAGATCTACTCAAGTTTCGTTACCAAGAGCACTCAAGAGAATGTTGAATGCTCCTGGGCTAAGTTCTGAAGGAGTGTCACCGACAAAAAAAGCAGCGATGCATAGTTTGTCCTCGTTCCAAAGACATAAAAACAATGAGCCACTGTAATTTTTGTAAAAAATCTATGTGCCAAAAACATATGAAGTTTATTTGCGATTCATGTAGTGAGAAATGAGAAACAATTTTGCAAACTCGTCAAGCACTCCTTATAATTGGTTTTTGATAAAAAATATTTGTTAGAATGTAAGAAGTTAATTTTATTTAGTCTTTTTGAGGAATAGTCTCAATATTTTGAACAAAAAGTCTGATTATTATAATGTTTTGTAAAAAATTATTAAAAAATGATTATCAAAATTTCTATTTTTTATTTTATATCACAAACCATACAAATGAATAAAATGTTTTCATAATTGCAATTACAGCAACCGTATGTCTATATATCTAGTTCAAGTTTAAGGGGTGGCCGCAACACCCCGCGAGTTCTCGCGGGGCTAAAAAACCGCGCGAGTGATCGAGGGTTAAGAAAAAAAACACAATAACATTAAAAATCTAACACACTTAAAAATAATTAGTTTCCTAATTTCCTTATAAGGCACGTTTTACACGCGTATATAAATCTCTTATGGTTGAATCAAAATACCTTTTCTATTATTTGTCTAAACTTGCTGAAACATAGATAAACTTATTATGATACCTATTTTAATAGGTATCGAAAGGTATTCGGCTTGTTTTGCCTTTATAATATGTTATTTTTCTGTTAGTGATGTCTTGAGGAGCTTTAATATAACTGTATTTTGTAATAAATGATGATTCATATTTAAAAGTCTGCTTTCTAATTAAAAGTACGTCTACAACGGTGCGTTAACATTAATTATCGAACAGCGAAAATATCAAACTCTGACACGCGGTAATTTAATTCAATTAGATTTGAGGGACGTGAGAACGAGCCCCTCCCTCATGAACCTCAGGAGGCGTTCATAGAAGGCGCTAACTAATAGTTTAATTACCGTTTAATCGGAATTAGTAATGCAAGACGCGGTATCGCCTGCACTTCCGCTTGTAGATAGAAAAAAAAATGCCTAGATAGAAGTCGTTGATGGCAAAGGAACTTGGGGTATTCTTTAAATAATATTATAGGCTATGCTACGGTGCCTCGGCGAGCACACGCAGTTTTAGTGATAGTTGCAATTAAATATGATGATTAATATTTTATTATTGCAAATTGATTGTGCTTCAAATTTTCTGAAGTTTGTTGACTGACGAGTACCTATTTTTTCATTCGTTTTGTGAAGATAAAACGGATATCATATAATATATAACATGGGATAAAAAAGATACACATACCTACCAAAACATTATTTTAATGTAGGTAATGATTATTTGTCAAACAAAAAGATATTCGCTAATTAGAGTACATACATTGTCACAGTTAATATATACATATTTATACTGTGACTTTGTTCTCTTGCAAAATAGTTTTATGTTATGTACTGAGAGACTCGGGGCGCTTAATGGAAGGACCGGTAATCACAATAGAGCGCTTCCCAGAAAGTGTTTTTTTTCTTCAGATATCCATAAAATACAGTGTTTGGTATAGAATATTCTATCTAACAATAAGAAAGAATATTGTAACTATTGGAAACTTAGTTGAATTAATTTTTATATAATACCAAATATTGACGGATATCATTGTATTTGTTATCAAACACTAACCTATAAAAAAAATTTCGGGTATCGAACGAAAATACTCGTAACATACATTTACCAGCCGTATACATTGAGCCGAAATTAATATTAACGGGGAACTCGAATTCGATCTCCGTTGGCACCAATGAAATTGTCAGTTACAATAATTGTAAGTGCTAATTTACCACGTGCTCGACGTTGAAGGAATTCATGGTGATTGATCACGTTTAGTCCGCTAACACGCACACACTACAGTAGCGTTGATTATAACCATTTTACTGGAAACTAGGCATTCCATCTCAGTCCTCAGAGGTCACAACGCATCGGCATTTTGATTCTTAATTGAGAATAGATGTTTATGGGCCACAGCATGCAGTTACCATCGGGTGGACTGTGTGCTCGTTTATCACCCTTATTCTATTAATAAAAAACTGCTTCAAACCCCTTCGAGAAATTTGTGCCCGTGGTAATCAGTGGAGCGGATAGTATACGAATCTATAATATACCATTCAAAAATATTACTAATGTATTATAAATAATTACAGAAACCATGCCACGCAACCTATCAAATGTCCACTGATGAACACATGTCTTCTCGTAGATTGTCTCATATATATTTGCCACAGTTCGCTTTGGCGTCAGGCAGGCAATCGCGGTATTTTTATATATATCAGGAAGATGTTGCCTCATATGACAATAATAAATGATGATGGATTCCTTAATTTGTCTAATCTTTAATATATCGCTAATTTGGTCGATAAACTTCCATTTAGGCCGAAGCTTGCCGATTCTGCCACTCACTTCAGCAGCATAAGTTTGTTTTGTCATTCTTTCGACGTTTTCAAACCACCGAAGCATTCTGTTATGGGTCAGACAAATAACATAACCCACTGAGAATTCACAAGAAAAAACAGAAATGTAGGTAAAGAAAATTCGAGTTGAGAGGTTAGGTACTTGTGGGGGGTAAAAAGGTAATGTATAACTTTTTTGCGGTTATCGTGTGGGGTCTTTAAATTATAAGTTCTTGGAAGCCTCATTATAACTGCATATTTGTGCCATAGCAGCATACACTTTTTTATCGAAGTATGATGCGGCTCACCTGATGGTAAGTGCGCTGCAAGCACTGCCTACGAAAAACTACAACATCAGAAAAATTACTTTGCCGATCCCAAAAAAGAATAGGCTATTTTCTTGAAAGACCCCTAAGTCGTATTGGTCCGTAAGATCGTTGGTGTTAGCAGATTCTATAAAATTGTCTTGCGAGGATGAAAATTTCTAAAAATTCGCACAGAAGTGGATCACCAAGTATCTAGACGGTGTGGATGGTATTAAGAATTTTGTTTTCCGTCATAGATTCTGCCTTCCCAAAAATGAAAGCGGCCGTGATATTACATTTGTTATTAAAAGCCAGTTAGAACTCAGAACGTCGATTTGTCGTGTGTGTGTTGGCACTTGTCCTTTATTTGTTTGCTTGTCTCGAGTGTGGCGCGAGTGTGTTTACCTTATTTTCGGAAATGGACGGACTGAAGTGGTGTTGACGTATCGCTCTCGAGGAGTTTTCTGAATTCCGTTCTGTACAAATTTAAAAATATTTGAGATTCTCAATCGCCGGAGTATGTTTACTGTGAGGGCTTAATAGTGTTGGTAAATTACCTAGAGATAGCAAGCAATCACATGAAGTATGACATTGTTTATTGGTATACTTGATCACATAATATTATATGAGCTGACCGCACGGTAGCGCAACGGAAAATCATTATTTGGTTGAATCGCGGGGCCACGGGTTCGAATTCTGCATGTTAAATATGTTTATGTGTCCTTAAATAATTGTTCAGTTAATGTTTCTTCATGTACAATTTACGTTTGTAAAAGACCTATAAGTTATAGTAGAAAATCCTAGTGTGAAGTTATCGTTTTCGCACACCACAGTACTTTTAATTTAATATTTTACCTGAGTTGGTTTTTTTGTTTAAGTTTTGTTGTTTAAATTTTAGGCAAAAGGTCACTGAAATACAAAAAAAACTTGTTTAGTACATATTCATATTCATATTATTTATTGCATCCATAATGTTACAGTTAAGGTGTTGAGAACATTTTAAATTTTAACTTAAAACTATGAGATCATTATGGGCCCTGCAGGGCACGGCAATTAAGAAGAGAGGAGGGCCATTATTGAAACAATAATGATTACACTATATAATATAGCTACTGTAAGTATTCTAGGTAGGCATTTAAAATATATCATTTAGGTATTCGCATAGTGTGTAGGAGTTTGTTAAAAATTTTGATAGACATGACGAAGGGACCTGATGAATGTAGTATAAGGCGAGATATGGGTATAGTCAGTTTTTCGTTATGTCGTAACTGGTATCTGGTATTACTTTCTTCTCGTTTGATATAAAATTATGGGTATTTTTTAATGAATTTGTAGATTTCCAAGACATATGTGCACGGTAAGGTGAGTATTTTATGTTTGACGAAGTGAGGTTTGCAGCTATCAGTATTTTGTATGTTAAATATTATTCGTATTAGTTTTTTTTTGTAGGGTTAAAAGATCAGAAACGTCTGTGCTATTTCCCCATATGATAACCCCGTAGCAGAGCCACGAGTACGCGTAAGCATAATAGGTACTGAGGGCGGTTTGTATATCGGTAGATTTTTTCACTTCTCGGAGAGCGCATGTAAAACTTGCTAATTTCCTTTAAATTTTCATTATGGGGGTTTTCCAGTTAATATTTGTGTCTATTGTTAAGCCAAGTAGGGTGAATTTGTTTACTTTTTTCTATTTTTATTTATCGTAGGTAAAGTTTATATTCAGGGGAACTTTTTGGTAGGAGTGAAAGCATATTATTTTATTTATTATTTATAAATATCGTATATCAAAATCACCAAATAAAAATAACGCTGCATAAAAATAAAGCATACATAAACTTAATTTCTATTTAAGAGTAAGGGGGTCGGGGACAAACCTATTTGTTGACTATGTTTTTATATATGTTCTGATTTTTGTTAGATATTTTATAATTAAAAATATCGGCGATTTTTTTCATTTGGAAACTTAATATTTTTTACAATTATTAAATCCAGGACTCGAAGAAACCTAGTGTAAATCGTGGTGAATTGTAAAAATTCGCTGGTAACACCGAGCAGCAATTTCAAACTTTAAAGACGTCTTAAACAAAAGCCAAGTAACCAGGTTCAGATTGTGCCCGAAGAGGGTATTTGTACTTGCGGCGTCTGCGGTGTGTCAACATTTGCGCTGGCCGCGACCGCTCGACTCTGTTTGCCGTGTTCAAGCTCTGTCATCAAATCTTGGCTTTATGAAGCCGGCTGCAGTGTGCGGTCGCATCTTTAGGTGGCGAATTGCGGCAAATACTGGGTAACGTCTCTTTGTTGAAGTTAACTTCCTTTTAAAATTCCGCTGCCATACGAGTTTTTTTTTTTTGGGGGGGGGGGGGGGGGGTTTTTGTTGTTTTTTTTTTTTTTTTTTTTTTTGGGGGGTTTTTCCTAGCTATGAACCATTGTCTCGACAAAACAGATAATACTGTGTAAATATGACGTCAATCGAGCAAGTAGTTCACAAGTTACACAAGCACTAACACAAGCACCAGAAATTACAATATTATATTACTAAGATTGTATGTAAATATGTTAATATTTGAATTCAAACAAAAAAAAAATATGTAGAAATCTCTTATCAGTTCTGAAATACATTTAGTGTTATCAACACGCTGTCGGCGAACAAAGCACCTATTCACGATCAAACTCAGTTCGGCATTATCACAAGCGAGCGGTGTTCGGGTGGTCAACATCTGTTTTATGTCGGAGAGCCTTTAAAGACCTTTGTAACAACTGTAAGACTTCCTAATTGCGCTCAACGTCTAGCACATTAACTATCGAACTTTGTTAATCAAGTGAGTACTTAAGAAATTAATGAGACAGAAATTACTTATTCAGTGAATGTTCATTTCGCTTTGAGTTTAGCACAATGAAACAAGCTTTCATGTCGCTATCATTATATTCTGAAGTTGTCAAAACTTCGTTAATGTAAAAGTCCCATCCATAACGACATCCTTCGATAAGATTTTTACTGCTCCTATTAAGTACTTAAAGTATCGCGAATGTTTTAGAACTCTTTGTCGGAAGATTCGCCATGTATTGATATTTAAGTGGATTAATAATTAGTCTTTGCGTTGTAGCATGGTGCGAATGACAGCTTACGCCTATGAAGTTTTGTATTTTTTTAGATAAACTGTCATACACATTATTGTACTTCGTGGATGGGTACCGCCTACTTACGAGAGTGATGTGGCACGTTAAACTATGCCATGTCATAACGAATAACCACAGACTATCAAGAATCTGTTTTGAAATAAATCGAATATATAAAAATCACGTAAATATTTATTGGAATTGTGATGAATCGTTCAACAAATTCTGATTTACAGAAAAAAATGCACATAGACGAATATGCAGTGTTTCCAATACATGGACGACGTTAATGAGCTTAGGCAAAAAGAATAAATAATTATAAATGTGTCAAAATTACTTGGCTACAAAAACCTTTTTTTTTTAAATTATTATTCTTTATTTCAGAAATTTCTTTCCATAGAGTGGGTTGGTAATTACAAAAAGAACTCATAAGCTAGGGTTAGTAACTAAATACACATTTAAAGGTTACATACTACATTACTATACTCTATCTACTTTATATTTACCAGATCAAGTCTCGAGCCGATATGGACGCTGTTCCAGTGCCTCAAGATAGGACAGCAATAGCGACTCCCTATCGCCGCCAGGAGGCTTTTGGAGCTATCCCGGACACGGCGCCATGCGGAGCCAACGCATTTGCGCATGATACTCTCTGACTCTGAATAGAGTTTGTTTAACTTCTATATTACACCCTACAAATCTACGGGCGACCATATTCGCTCTCATAGCAAGAGCCCTGCATTCCCTCTCTATGTCAACATCATCCGACATATTTTCAGTAACCCAGTGCCCCACGTATTTAAAACTTGTCACTCTTTTCAGTGGTACGCCTTCAAGAGCGACGTTGGGAAAATTGTAGCTCTTATTTTTTGATTTAAAAAATACGATCTCACTTTTCTTGACATTATATCGTAGGTCATGAGCCGTTGCATACTTCTCACAGATACTGAGTAATTTTCTTAGATCATTAATTGATGGGCTCAGCAGCACCATTTCGTCGGCGTAACTTATGTTGTTATATGCAGTATTATCAATAGAGCAGCCGACTCCACTACCACCTAGTTCACCAATCAGACTGTTCACGTAGAGGTTTAAAAGTGCAGAAGAAGACAGGCCGCCCTGTCTTACTCCACACTCCAGCCCATCCGCCTCCGATTGCACTCCTGCCCACCTCACCTGATTCTGTTGATTGTCTTACCAATACTGAATGTCGTACCAATACTGGAACAGACCTATTAAGTCATCAGGAAAGTCATTGTTTCAGTAGCCAGCTTCTTCCAAAGTTTATCGTATTAACCGTATCAAAGGCCTCTGATAAGTTCAAAACAGCCTATAACAGGTGTCCTACGATAATGTACGGTGTGTTTGAGACAAAGTATAGCACTTTCTGTGGATAACTGCGGTCTAAAACCAAATTGTGCATCACATGGATTAATGGGTGCCTGTAACTTCCCCTCAAGCAGACCGTCCATCACTTTCGCTATAGTAGTAGCCAGGGAGATAAGTCTATAATTGTTTTTATCCGACGAATCTCCTGTTTTATTTTTCAGTACTGGCACAACAATCGTTTTCATAAAATCAGAAGGTAAGTACGAGTGTCCTATGCAAAAAGTAAATACGAGGGTGGATTGAAAAGTACTCGGCCTAACACAGATCCATTCAATTCTAAAAATCAAATCTACCCACATTATTTAGTTCAGTTCAGACTAGTTCATTGTGTGAAGTTCGAAACGTGTGCGATAATTAGTTGTGATTTTATAAATTTATTAACAAAGTAATCGGACATAATTTCCGCGAATGGAGCAAATCGAGCAGCGTGCCGTCATTAAGTACCTCCATAAGAAGGGGCTATCATCAAAAGCCATCCATGATGACATGGTCAGTACATTAGGCGATTGTGCTCTGTCATATTCATCCGTCAAAAAATGGATAGCAGAATTTAAGCGTGGTAGAGAAAGTGTGAAAGATGAACCCCGCTCTGGAAGGCCTTCGACGTCAACTACTGACGAAAATATTAAAAAAGTACTTGATTTAATAATGGGAGACCGCAGATTAAAAATTAGAGAGATAGCCGAGATTATAGGCATCTCTTATGAACGAACTCAAAACATCATTGTCAACGAGTTGGGTTTCCACAAGGTGTCTGCGAGGTGGGTTCCGCGACTGCTTTCAGTTGAACAAAAGAGGACGCGATTGACTATTTCACGCGACTGTTTGGAGTTATTTGAAGCCGATGCAGATGATTTTTTGAATCGTTTTGTTACTATGGACGAAACATGGGTTCATTACTGTACACCGGAAACAAAACAACAATCAAAACAGTGGAGAAGACCTGGTTCACCACTCCCTAAAAAGGCTAAGTCGATTTTGTCGGCAAATAAGGTGATGGCTTCAGTATTCTGGGTCTCGAAAGGTGTGATTATGATTGATTATCTTGAAAGGGGTCAGACTATAAACTCTGATTACTACTGCACCTTACTACGTAGTTTACGAGAGGAAATAAAAGAAAAACGTCGAGGAATGCTCGGAAGAAAAGTCCTGTTTCATCAAGATAACGCCCGTGTTCACACGTCAGTACAGTCAATGGCTGAAATTCACAACTGTGGCTTTGAACTGTTACCGCATCCGCCGTATTCACCTGATCTGGCACGATCAGACTTCTTTCTGTTCCCTAACCTAAAAAAGCACTTGGGAGGTCAAAAATTTTCGACAAACGATGAGGTCAAAGCAGCTGTAGACGCATATTTTGACTAAGGAAGAATCATTTTTTTTCAACGGTCTAAATGCTTGGAAGGGGAGGTGGCAAAAGTGTATTGAACTTGATGGTGATTATGTAGAAAAATAAAAATATAACTGATTTAGTATGTGTTTATTTTCTTGGTTAGGCCGAGTACTTTTCAATCCACCCTCGTAACATGGCCAGGATACGTGGAAGGTGGACACCAGCATATTGCAGGTGTTCGATACTGATACTGTCATGACCTGGAGATTTACCGTGTCATGTTTTTAATTACGTCTTTAACATGTTTAGCCGTAAAGCACGTGGTTTCATCTCAATCCCGGATACCTGTATCGAAATTCTGCGATGATTTTCGATTGGTATACTTAAAGTGATTTTTAAAAACATTTGCCACTTTCCTCGCATTACTTTCACCATCTATACTCGCAAGGACTCTCAGCTTTGGATTCAATTTGTTGGTTTGTTTCTAAAATTTAGAAAAGTCTTTGGTTTTAATATGTGTAGCCAAAATTTGCTTTTTTATTTTTTGTTCGTTATTCTGACACCATTTTATTTTGGATTTAAACAGTTTTCTACTTTCTTTCATTTTTTCGTAATAAATTCTAATTTTAGATCTTCCATATAATACCCACATATGAAAGCAAATTCGAGCGTCACTGTGACATGGCTTAACATATTTATTCCAACCCACAACATATTTATTTCTACCTTCGTCGCTATTGCCGCCCCTCTCAAATTAATTTAATAAATAATAAAAGAAAAGAATTAGGATTCCGCGCGAAAAATATTGAAACCTATAAAATCCAATCGTAATAAACACCTCGCGAGCGAGGTCGCGGGAACAGTAATGGCTGTAACTATTATGTGATAATTTGTATTAAACTTTAACTTAATATTAAATGCATTGTAGTTTATACAGGAATATATGTTTCGGTATTAATTTTTATATCGATAGTTTTTGCTTTGATTTGTGTATCGATAAGCCTTTTTAAAATCGATTTATAGTTGTCCCATCTCTAGACACGCCAAACTGTAAGCTGTCACGCGCACCATGCTATAACGCAAAGACTATAATGTTTTGCTTAAAGTTGTCTGTTGTTTTGCCTTGAATTTTCCTGTTTCGTGAATACTTAGTATAGCATGTGTAATGCCTAGTTTACTTAGTGTATCACTCTCTTACGTATTACTGCCGACGAAAGTATTTTTTACAGAATAAGGATGACTAACGAGCATAGAGTCCATCTGATGTTAAGTGGATGCTGTGGCCCATAGACACCTACATTTATCCTCAATTAGAAATCAAAATGAAGATGCGTTGCCACCCCTGAGTACTAAGATGGAATGCCTCGATTCCAGTAAAACGGGTCTCCGGTTCTCTACACTCACTATACGAAATACAGCAGCATTAAGTTGGTATTTTACGCTGGTATTCTGTGAGAGCGTGGCCCTTGCAGTATAGAAAGCCAGTTTAATTACAGGCCCTCTAGCGGTGAAAACGCATCCGCAGCCTCCTTTTTTTAAAGTGGCCTGCAGGGGTCCATGGACTTCAGTGGCCACTTATTTTTGTTTCAGTTTTATAATGATACTGTGATAAAAATGTCATTAGCTATAGAGTTTTGTTTTTTTTTTAGAAACTCGAGTATTAAATTATCAGTCTCCTTTTAATATAAATATTAAATTTCACAATTGTCCTGCTTAACTGTCGACAATCCATGACGCAGTGATTGAGAAATTCGCTTAAGTTTATATTGATTTTTTTTTTAAATTTATAATAGCATAAATATCACTCAGTCGTTGTTTTATTGAAAGATGTAATTACAGTTGTTTTATGGTATAATTTAAAATTTCAATTTGATTTTGTAATTACCTTAATTATTTCCTTCTTCGTGCCTGTAACAATCGACGGTTGGACATAAAAAATAATTACAGTTGTTTTATGGTGTAATTTAAAGTTTCAATTTGATTTTGTAATTATCTTAATTAATATTTTTACTTTGAGCCTGTGGTGGGCCTAGTCCCAAAGACAGAAATCGGGTAATGGACTGTCTTGAGTTCACCACAGTCATTCGGTATGGTTACCTAAATACCAAACATTAGTTTAGAATTAGGTTGGAGTGCTAGATATATTTTCTTAATATTTTCTCATTTATTACATTTACTTCTTTATCAAACGAGCACACAATCCAAGTAACAGGACGCTGTGAATCATAGACATCTTACATGTCTATGATTCACAGCGTCCATATACCTGTTTAAGCCTAATTAAGAATCCAAATGCAGATGCGTTGTCACCCCTAAAGACTAAGATGGAATGCTTCGTTACCGGTAAAAAGGCTACGGTTTTACGTTAGTTGAGCAAGCTTCAAATACTGCTGAAGCGTGGCTCTACAAGGTGGTACGTGATACGTATGTACGAGGGTGGATTGAAAAGTACTCGGCCTAACCAAGAAAATAAACACATACTAAATCAGTTATATTTTTATTTTTCTACATAATCACCATCAAGTTCAATACACTTTTGCCACCTCCCCTTCCAAGCATTTAGACCGTTGAAAAAAAATGATTCTTCCTTAGAGTCAAAATATGCGTCTACAGCTGCTTTGACCTCGTCGTTTGTCGAAAATCTTTGACCTTCCAAGTGCTTTTTTAGGTTAGGGAACAGAAAGAAGTCTGATGGTGCCAGATCAGGTGAATACGGCGGATGCGGTAACAGTTCAAAGCCACAGTTGTGAATTTCAGCTATTGACTGTACTGACGTGTGAACACGGGCGTTATCTTGATGAAACAGGACTTTTCTTCTGAGCATTCCTCGACGTTTTTCTTTTATTTCCTCTCGTAAACGACGTAGTAAGGTGCAGTAGTAATCAGAGTTTATAGTCTGACCCCTTTCAAGATAATCAATCATAATCACACCTT